TTATCACAAGTTATGCATTTTGTGCAATGAAATAATGCAGTTGTCGTTATTGTGCTATAAAAGGATTAAAACTCACATCTGGAGTTGCATAAAAAACCTATTATATGTAAATATTTATATTGGAGATAAGCTATTGTGGTAAAAAGCAAAATTAGATAATGAAGCTTAAGATGTGCCAAACCAATACTGGTTCTAAATAATTAAAACATTAGTTATGATAAAACTTACAACATGAATATATTGTAATATGAAAATTTAAATAATCGCTACATATTAAATAAATTGGTAGTAATAATGTACTGATTGTAAAAATAAATTGAACATAATATTTTAAGCACTTATGTTAAATCTTCTTATGTTTATTACGAACCTGCAGTTGAAATGGAATTTCGAATTATTAATTAAATCTTGTCGTTAAATTCTCTGTGACTCCCCGACTTTTATCAGAACCAAATCGAGATTACTAAGCCGATAATCTGCTATCTTCGTTTTATGTCAGAACGATCTTAACAACTGACACTTTAGTTTTCATTTGAAAGGCAGAGTGACTTCTATTCAATTAGGGTTACTTAAGGTCTGTTAGGGTCTGAAAAAAGCACAGTAGATTAGCAGTGCTCTCCTCATCTATGAACGAGTATCCCGTACAGCTTCTCTTCTAACACTTAAAATTACTAATTACTATTTAATATTTATTAAATTTCACAAATTACGAAATTCCAAGTTATTAAAATAAAAAAGTGTAGAGTGAAACAATGTCGTTTTAACCAGAAACTATTTATTCTTGTATTTGGTATGTTAATTTCAAATTCTTATGAGTATAGTTTCTCGCTATTATCATGTCATTCCATCAAACTCAAATATCCTTACTTACTTTACTTGCATTGTTGTCCTGTGATTATGGGAATACAAATTATACAACCAAATATACCAAGACAAGATAATATTTATGTTTTGTTTTTCTTTTTTTTTTTGTAATAAATATTTTTTATCCGTCTATCATATTGCACATCTAAGACTAGAAACTGTTACCTTTCTGGTAAAACACTTAAGAATTTCACTTTTAAATGCCGTCATGCAGCTGAGAAGTTAATGGAAAATGCATTTTACTCTACGCTATATTCCCTCAGGATGCAAGTTGATATACTCCTGTTTGCTATGTTAACTTTTTTAGTACCTTCTTAAAATTGTTGTTGTTGCTTTATGTAATTTCATTGTAGGAAAGTGAAATTTTTTACAAAGAAAAAGTACAAGATACGTAAGACAAGGTTAATACATTGTATACATTGTTTAGAATTGATAGTATAAATGTTTAATTAGTTTTCTTAGCTCTTAAGTAGCTGATCCCTTACCATATTTCTTAGCGTCTTACATTTTAATTAAACTCGACGTGCTTGTGAAATTTAATACAACTGCTAATACTAATACGACTAAGTAAATTGTTTTAAGAGTATTAAAAGGTATTAAGTAAGTGCTAAGCAAATATGAGTAATCATGTAAGCGATATTGCAAAACAAGCCAACAAGAAAAGTATTGATAGGAATGATTAAAGTAACTGAAAGGTTGGAATTTGAGTTAATTAAAAACAAGCAATTATAGTGAGGTCTGACTATATAGCTCTACTAGAGTTTCAAACACATTAATTAAATAAAATTAAAATAAAAAAGAAGACGTTTGGTTTTCATTGGTCAAACTTCACTCGCAACACAGCAAGTGTTTCTTAATTAACTTTGTTAAAGACTTTTTATTCAAATATGTATATAATATATACATAGATATATTTTGCACTTATTTTGTAAGGGTACAATATGATATAGTCAAGTAATTTCCTCAATTTATTAAATCGATTCGTTTAATCCAGAAGAAGTAAGCATTAAAAACTAACAAAATAGTGTATTTAGTATAAATAGAATGACAGATCTAGATATAGATAAATTGAATCGAGTCATGATTAAAAATAATTAATATGATTTTTAGTAATATCTTCATTATTTTGTAACAAATTTTTTAGAAACTTAATGTACTTAAAAATATTTGTTACAGGCTTTCTTAGTTGCTGATGTTTCTGTTTGTAGTAAAACAAATATTAAACAAAATACATATTTAACAAAATGTATGAAAGACAATTGTTTTATCTAGCTACAGAAGTTTTTCATTGAAGTTTTCGAAACGAACGGCACTTTTATTCACTTATTTCCAAATTATTATTTTAATATAATGTATTATATTTGTAAAAGCTACCATAAATATTTGTATTCTTATTATTATTTTTATTCATATTAAAAGTTAAGTTGAGGCAAAAATACCTCTTATGGTACAGCACAAGAAAACGCAAAGCAACAATGTCAATGCAAAAACTATGTACAATAGAAGCAACAACTCATATATAAAAAAGGCAAAAAATAAGTTATATTTATATATATTTTCTCTATTTTGCCTTCAATAAAACACTTACGACTTTAAAAATTTAAATAATATAGGAAATTACAATAAAAAAATGTAAATAAATAATTAAACGAAATAGGTTTAACGTGATGTATAAATAAATAAATAAAGTATATGTAAAAAAAATAAAAAAGAAATAATAATGAAAATTAAAATAGTCAAATAAAAATATAAAAATTTCATTAAAAGATACATTTAAAAAAAAAATTAATAAACAAACTTATTAAAGTAAATTTATATAATAATTTATTTGTTATTTAATAATCGTACATATATTTTGAAAGAAATAAAAGAATAATAATTTTTTATTGTAAAAATTGAAAAAATTCTGTAACAAATCATATATTTTACAATTTAATATTAGGTTCAGTGAGTTATATTAAAACCCCAGCATGTTATCATTTAAAAAAAGTTTTCCTAATACCATATTGAAATATAAAATTTTAAAAGTATATCAATTTTAAACCTTTTTCGAATATCCTTATCTGAACAGAATGAATATAAAATATAATGATATATTGTACTCAGAAAGTGCTTTTTCACGTCCAGCATCAATTAACTCTAGTGAAAATCTCATATGCATAAAACGTGACGCAGTTACCACTGGTATGTGTGTAAAATTTATAGATTCTCGGTTCCTAGAAATTTTCAAACACTTCAGTTAAAAAACTGAAGGCGATTTTCTTCAATGCCTTGTGACAAAATGTCCACTTAACGTACGAGTATTTAATATTTTTTAGCTATTATGTAGGCAGCAATTTTTTGTAGTCATTCTCGAATTTTATCTTTATCTTAATAGGCACTTCAATTTAAGCAGAAAAAAATACTGGTGACTTAAGTGTTTTGGCAGCCGTAAGATAAATGAGAATATGAGCTGAA